AAGCCTCTGCAGATGCTTCATGTGGACCTCTGTGGTCCTATCTCTATGAAGAGCCTTGCAGGAAAGAAGTACATTCTTGTACTCATAGATGAATAATCAAGGTTTACGTGGGTAGAGTTTATTCGAAAGAAATCTCAGGTCCCCTCTGTACTAATCAATCTCTTGAAGAGATTGCAAGTTYTTCATGCTTTGCAGGTCAGGGTATTACGGAGCGATAATGGTACAGAATTTAAAATTTCTGTGATCGAAGAATACCTAGCCTCTGTCGGCATCACACACAACTTCTCAGCCCCAATGACTCCGCAGCAAAATGGAGTAGTGGAGAGGAAGAACAGATCGCTTGTCGAAGCTGCCAGAACGATGCTGAATGCCTCTGGGCTTCCATTATCTTTTTGGGCAGAAGCTCTTTCAACTGCCTGCTACACAAGAAATCGGTCTTTGGTGGTCAAACGCTTCGAGAATACTCCCTATCAACTTCTATTCGATAGAAGGCCAAACATAAAATTCTTCCATTTGTTTGGTTGTAAATGCTACGTACTAAATGACAGAGAGTCTCTGGGAAAATTTGAGCCAAAAAGGAATGATGCAATCTTCATCGGCTATGCGTGTGATACTGCCGCATACAGAGGCTACATCCCCAGGACCCAAATTGTGGTTGTTAGCACAAATGTTATATTTGATGATTCTTTTCATGTGACGAAGGAAAAGTTCACAGAAGAGTTGAAAATCCAAGCCAACAAATCTCTGAACGCTACAATCACACCAGAACTCGAGTAACTATTTACATAGTGGTATGAAGATGAAGCAGAACCAGAAAGATCCTCTGTAGGCAATGCCCATCCAGATCAAGCATCCACAGAGAGTCCTTCCACAACACCTTTCACAGAGGACGCTCCCATCCCTTCATCCTCTGTGACCCCTTCCCTTGACAATTCACTACTAGAGGCTGCACCAACAATAGAAAGTCCTCCAGTATCATCTTCTGATGTTGTTCAACCAAAAGATGCTTCTCTAAATAAAATTCCTACCTCCAATGAAGCTCAACAGCCTGAACAAGACCCTGCATCTCAAACTCATCTTCAGATTGCACAAGAAATCGTGCCCTCTGTTCAACCACATCACGTCACTAAATGGACCCAAAGCCATCCACAATCTCAAATCATAGGAGAACCTTCTGCAGGTGTAAAGACACAAGCCACGGCAAACTTTTGC